CTGAAGGCATTAGCTCGCTAGGTGTCTTCGAGTACGATAGCCTCCGGCAGTCTGCTCAAAGATATTAAAGTAAAGGCTTTGCTTGACCGATGCCACGCGTCGTCAAGTTAAAGTATTAGCTAGGTGAATAAAGGGCTGCGATGCCACGCGTCCACCCGACGATTCAATAGTATATCCTAATATAACGATAATAGTTTGTAAACATATAATAACTGTTAATAAATATATTAACACTAGGAGTGAATTATTATTCTCTGAAAAACCTCTTACAATTGGCGCCCAACGCAAAATATATTTAGTCTCTGAACTTTACAAATCTGTATCTACCCTCATCAATATGAGTGAAAAAGCAAATATTGTTATGAGTGACGGACAACTCATTCAATTAATTGAAGCGCTAGGACGAACATCGCAAATTAATACTGAAGAAAGTTTTGAACGTCTTGCACAATCTTTTGCGTCTTTATCTACCGCAGACAATATGCAGCGAGCAAGTTTTGTAAAATGTACGGCGAGATTTAACGGCGTTCGTCAGTACGAACAAGTTGAAGAATTCATCAATACAATTTCGATTTTCAAAAAAATCGAAAATATCTCTGACACTGATGCATCAGACGGTTTGGGACTGCTTCTAATGGGACAAGCTTCGATATGGTGGCAAGGTGTGAAAACTGAAGCGGACACATGGGAAACTGCATTAAAATTAATACGGCAAACCTACGCTCCAAAAAGACAACCACATGAAATTTATACCGAAATATTTGCATCCCGATAAGGCGCTAAAGAATCCATAGACTCATTTCTGTGCTCTAAAAGAGCCCTTTTTGCTCAACTGCCTGATAAGCGGCATAACGAAGAGGAACAGTTGGATTTAGTGTTTGGGCTACTTAATACAAAATTGAAGCGAAATATACAACGGTCGGATGTAACAACATTTAGCGAACTTTTATCTAAAGGTCGCCATTTTGAAATTTTTGACAAAGAAGAGGACTTTAGGAAAATAATTCCAAAAAGGTGTTCTTTTTGCTCAAAACGGGGACACACGCAAGATGAATGTAGGAAAATGTTGGCCGAAAAAAAAGACAGCAGCGAGGATTACAAAATAAAATGTTATGGATGTGGTGCGCCTGGAGTGTACAGAAGCAAATGTACAATATGCAAAGGACAAGAAACACCTCCAAAATCAGTACAATTTTACTCCATGATTAATACACCTGTTGAAAATGGCGTTAAGATTCCGATGATTGACATAAAAATAAACAATTCAAATGGATATGCATATTTAGATTCTGCAGCAAGAACTAGCATAGTCGCCCTGTACACCATCTTCACGGACGACGTGCCTGCGGCGCCGGGCAGCATGGTGGCACTGTACGCCGACGACACGGCGTACCTCGCGTCATCATTCAATGCAGCCCACGTTGCCGTCAAATTGCAACGGTCGCTCGACCTCCTCCCTGCCTGGCTCGAGGAGAGGCGACTCGTTGCAAACGCCGCGAAGAGTCAAGCGATTGTGTTCAGGGCGGGCAAACTGCCCACCGCACTCCGCCTACAGGACATCGACATCCCATGGCGCCCTCAGGTAACATACCTGGGCGTCGTGCTCGACCGCCGGTTGACGCTGCGACACCACGCTGTCCGCGCTGCGGGACGCGCCGTGGCCGCCGCCAGCAAGCTGCGGCCCATTCTCTCGTCCCGATTGTCGACGCGTGCGAAGCTCGCACTCTACCGGCAGTACATCCGGCCCCACCTCACGTACGCGGCACCCGCCTGGTACGGCCTCACTGCCGAGAGTACTCGGCAGCGCTTGAGGGTCGTACAAAACAAGACGCTACGACGCATCGTAAACGCGCCGCGCTACGTGAGGAACGCGACCATCGCCCGGGACCTTCGTCAGGAGAGCCTCGACACCTTCATCCACAGACTGGCGACGCAGATGTTCGCCCGCGCAGACTCTTCGTGTTTCGCGCACATCCGCGACATCGCGCCGTACCATTCGAGGCCTCCCGACCAACGACGAGCGTTCCCGCGCGAGCTCATCCGCACGGGGCCACCACCGGATTGACACTCACACTGGCCAGGACTTACCAGAGGCGCGGCGAAACCGCGCGCGTTTTCACTTGGCGAATCGTCCGCAGGCTATGCCTCGCTGGGCCTCCCTCGGGGCTACCGAGGGTCTCACCCGGCGGGGCTGTGCCGCGCGCCGTGAAACGTGTCGCAACCCCCGCGCCCTTACCTCAGAAATCTGAGTGCCTGCTGCCGCTACAAGGACCTTCGGGGTATTGAACAGTGCGCTTGCCATTCAGCATCCCCCTCACCTGAAGCGTGCAGCACCTAGTACGTCGGTGCGCGAGACGAAGCCACCGACGTCATCACCGGCCTGACGCTGCTTATGCAGCATTCCAACCGGCGGACTCGTCGCAACGAGTCGCGAAACCCGCAACCTCCCGCAGGCGCCTCTGGCGCGAACGGGAATACCTGCGCCCGCTGCGGCGGGCGCAGAAGAAAAGCTATGTGCTGAAGGCATTAGCTCGCTAGGTGTCTTCGAGTACGATAGCCTCCGGCAGTCTGCTCAAAGATATTAAAGTAAAGGCTTTGCTTGACCGATGCCACGCGTCGTCAAGTTAAAGTATTAGCTAGGTGAATAAAGGGCTGCGATGCCACGCGTCCACCCGACGATTCAATAGTATATCCTAATATAACGATAATACTTTGTAAACATATAATAACTGTTAATAAATATATTAACACTAGGAGTGAGTTATTATTCTCTGAAAAACCTCTTACAATAATAATAAAAAATATTTTTTGTTTTATTTATTAATTATTTAGTTTTATTCGTTTCAACTGTTTTTAAAACACTATTATTATTTTATGTTGCAAAATATACAGAGGTGATGTTTAAC